TTGATAGTAATGCTCTAGGCTGTGTGTGCATTCAAAACTAAGGAATTAACACTACACTGGTAACTAAACTACAGACTGCATTTGTATCTCATCAATTTTTCCTCTGAAGTCCGTTTTCAGTTCCAAGATCCAATGCTAGGTACCATGTGCCCTTATTTGTCATGGCTCCTTTGTCTCCTCTGACCTCCTCTGACCCTTTCTCGGTCTTTCTTTGATTTTAATTGCCTTACAGGTTTCTAGAGTATTGATCAGATATTTACACAGTTTCCCTCAATCAGTCTAGGCCTGTATGGTGTTTTATCATAATTTCCCTGGGTTTTGAGTTTGGGAAAGAATATCACAGAAGTGCTATTTTCATTGCACCAGCTCAGGGAGTGTAATGTGTACATGGAAGTAGTTTGGGTTTGCATCAAATATTTGGCCAGAGATGATTCAGTAGTCATTTACTCAGCCTCTGCTTTGCATCCAAAGTTGTACTCAGTACTGTAGATATCAAGAAATCACTCTCTCTTTCTCTCTCTCTCACTCTCTTTCTCCTCTCCTCTCCCTTATTTCTTTCCCCCTTTCTCTCTCTCCTTACCATATACAGACTATACGTGAGATACTATGCTAAGCCCTTTGATTTTCATTTAATCAGCACATGACTGTCAACATCATTTCCATTTTATGGAAATGAAGTTGCCCACCCCGACCCAGCTATTAAATGGTAGAGCTGAGGGTTAGATTCAGGTTCTTGCTACTACACAACCAGGCTTTTGGTAGGTACTAGCTCTGGCCTTGAAATGTTGCACAGAAGTTGGGTCCACATGCAAATGACAAGCTATAAGGATTCCTCTGTAGCTTTTCATGAAACAGTGAGGGTCATCTAGACAAAGTCATACAGTGTGGCATCTCTTGGGAGGTGACATTTGAATTGGGAGAGAAGAGCATTCTCAAAAGAAGAAACACTGTATGCAAGTCACCCAGGTTCAAAGTGCTTGGTGTGTTCTGAGAAGAACTAGCTGTTTGGTGCGGCTGGAAGGAGGGTGTGTAGGGGAAGCCACCGATCTCTCCTTCCCTTCCTGTTTTCTCAAGAGTTCCTCGCAGAGGCACATCTTAGTCTTGTCTCTTAGATGCTAAGGCACTGGGTGGTAGAGCAACAAGAGCAATCAATACGGGGTCAGAGCCAGGGGCACACTATGGCCCTGACATTCACTCATGCCCAGCAGCTCCCACTCCTGTCAGGCAGGACTAATGCTCACTGCCTGCAAGTATTGCTGCTCAGATGATTTGATCATCAAGGAAGAGGACTCTGGAATCTGCAAAGCCTCAAATGTGGATGGAGACACAAACAGCTTCCTAGTAACAGTCATGCCACCTGGCAGAAACTGAACACCTCCCAATCAAGATGCTCTGAGTCCTAGGAGTTTGACTGACAGCACTTGTTAAATGGGATTGACAGGTGGTATCTTCCTGGAAGCCCCTGACAGGAGTCCTGCTCTGTAGCTTATTTTGTTGCTTCCCCGTTAAGAGATTCTGAGTCAATTTTCAACTGCATACTGAAGATGTGATTAGGAGTGTTACTATCTCAGGCCATCTGGATGTGCTACAGTCAGAGGAAAATAGCACCTTCACAGATTTGACAGAGCAATGGGGGCTTCTGTGCTTCACGATGAAAAGGGAGGGAGGAAGGCAGCTTTAGGAATCTGAGCTACTCTGCTGTGATTTGCTGCTCTAACAAATCACCACTAGCTTAGTGACTTAAAAAACACAGAATTGCTATTTTACAGTTCTGGAGGTCTGACTCCAAAGTGGGTTTTGCTTGGCGCAGATCAGGGTGTGAGCAGAGTGTTGTGCATGGAGCAGGCTCTGAGGAGAAGCCACTTCCTGTCTCTTTCAGAGGCGCCCGTACCCTTTGGCTCATCGCCTCTTCCTTCATCACTAAAGCCAGTACTGCAGCAGCTTTCAAGCTCCCTCTGGCTCTTCTGCCTCACTATTCCATTGTTAAGAGCCCTTGTGACACTGGGCCCACCTGGATGATCCGAAATAATCTCTCCACCTCAAAGTCTTTACATCAATCACACCCATAAAATTCCTTTCCCCATGTAAGGTAACATACTCACAGGTTCCAGGGATTCAGATGTGGACACCTACAGGACTCAGATTTTGCCCTGTTGTCCCGCCTACAGCAGCAACCATGTAACGGGGGGGGGGGGCTGTATGTCCCAGATTTGTCAGCGGTGATGGGAAGTACCTGCATTCCTCTCCAGGGTGTTACAGATAATGGGTAGAAAAGCACCATCGGGAGGCTTCCCCTTACCATGAAAACAGGTGTATTGGCCAGCTCCTTGTGTCTGGTCCCAAGTACTTGACATACACAACTTAGTGGGGGAGAAGTTGATTTTAGCTTATGGTTTCAGAGGGTTCACTCCATGGTTAGCTGGCTCCAAGGTAGGAACATCATGGCAGAGAGGCATGGCAGAGGAAAGCTGCTCAACTCATGGGATCCAGAAAGCAAAGAACAAGGGAAGAGCCCAAGAAGAAGAAATCAGGGACTAGATATGGTTCCCAAGGTCATGGCACATGACCTATCTCCTTCAAAGAGACCCACTTCCTAGGAGCCAGTTCAGCTATGGACTCAGTCACCTCTCTGAATGTCTTAATCCAGTCAAGTTGATAATCTAGATTATCTGGCATAAATGGATAGTCACCTTCTTGAGAAGAATCTAACTCAAACTGAGGAGGGTGGCTCTCTGGTCCTTCCACTGTGGGGTAGAGTGATCCAGGCTCACTCTCTCATTTTTGTAGGGCACTGTCAACTATACCCCAGCTCAGATGAGTGTTCACAGCTGGTGGTGGAATACACCTATATTCCTGGGCTCACAGGCAGTTGAGGCAGGAGTATCATTTGAGCTCATGAGTTTGAGACCGTCCTGGGCAACATAGCAAAATGTCATCTCAAAACATCCCCCATACACACACATAGGCACAAACACATCTTTCTCTAGTAGTGACTTGAACACTGACTATCAAATTTGACTGGGGAGAAATGCTGCTCAAGGAGCCTCTCCCATCTGAGAGACTGACAGTCCAACCACACTTGTGGACTCCATATAAGTTTAAGCCAGACTGCATCTTTTTGGCTCCAGGATACCTGTTTTTACTAAATTTTACTTTACTTTGTTCCTATTACATTAGGAGCACAGTGTAATAATAATAAGTTTGATGAAAATAAGTGTATTTACTACACAATTTTACTGAGAGTGATCATTGCTTTCCAGCATATATTTCTTATGATAAATATTCTTCCAGTCTCAAAATGCACCACAAGGAATCCATCACTCTAGTAATGGCTTTGTTTCCAATCAAATGAACACTGACTCACATGAATTTTGCCTGATTTTTACCAACTATTTGGAAGCTAAGCTGTCCATCTACAACAAAGTTTTGGAACAACATACCCTGTGTTAGGTGCATCAACTTATTTAACCTGCTTTGTTGTCTTTCACCAGTTACTCACTTATTTGTAATTTAGTTCTTATTTTTTCTAGTGTCTGTAACCTATGAATAAGAAATAGTACAAACTTTTGTTATTTCCCAAGATTTTCTCCTACATATAAGACACATGCTCCTGAAAGTACATTCTCTTTGTTACAGAAAAACACATAAATGAATACAATAAAAAGTATGAAATGAATCAGCCTTGGTGCCAATGTATAAACACTGACTTTTAGCAGGACTGAGTCCAGCATCATTATAAAGCTGGAGCTTTCGTCAATAATATGAAAACAAGTCTCTTGTGCTTTGTATGCAGAGCATGCAAAGCTCATAAATGCCAACATTCTAAACTGCTTGCTTGCTGTTAGCAGATTGCTGGGACCGAAATCCATTTCTTTCTTAAGGGATATTTAACTTTTATTGTATCTTTACTCATGGTCAAAAGACATCAGCAAATTTGCTAACGTGATTGAAGATACTTTTCTTAAGGCATCCCTAAACTTTCATATCACTGCTGTTGGGGTTTTGGATGTAAGCTTGCTTTCTGAGAAAAGAAAAAGAGAAATGTGTTTTGCCCTGTATAAAGTTCCAATAGTTGTAAAAGGCCAAGATTGTTTTTAAAAATCAGGTTAGCAAATCCTGCAGTGAAGATATCTCTGAGATAAACTCACTCTTAAGAGTTCATCTCTAATGTCATCAAACCACAGAATCTTCTACTCACAACTTCTCAGCTCCTGTTAGTTGGTATGTCTAGACCCTGCCTTGTGGACCTCTGTAACCACAGGGTCTAGAGCATGGGATGTGATTAATAAGTATTTGTTGAAATAATGAGTAATAACTCAGTCTCAGAGAGACTAAACCCTAGCACACCATGACAGGAATAAAATTCAGACAGAATGACTGGCACTCAGACACATTCAAGCCACAGGAAAGAATTCTGCTGCTTTTAAACTCCAGAGCAGCAATTTTGATTTCCATTATTGTCCTCTTTGAGAAAGACACACCTACATGATGCTCTTTGAAGTCGCCACACAACACACAAAGTGTGCCCATATGTGTGTCAGTGTAATCTCTGTCCACCTTACTCCTACTACAGAAAATGTACCAGAATCCAAATGAATGAGGATGTCATTAATATGGGAACCATCTTAAGCCTACTGCAATTCTTTGAGAAGTTAACTGTCTACCATTTCAGCATTTCAAATATTATTAGACATGGCTTGAGAGGGTTCTTTCATGGACTGACAGAATTACTCACAATAACATGACTGAGGGTGCTGCTTGGCAAACACTGGCTTGACACCCACCTTGTCATCTTCCTAAGACCCATAGAAAGCATCTCTGGGGGTCACTCTACCCTAATGTAGTCATCTATATGAGTTCTTCCATCCATGTGAGCACCACCAGAACCATAGATTATTTTTGCTAATGGCCACTATGCAAGAATCCCATTGACAAGTGGGTGTTCCTCCACTTCTATCATTATGGTCTTGAGAACTGTGATTTACAAGCAGCTGACTTACCACTCCACCACCTGCCGAATGCACCAGAACAGACATCCCTTCCCGGAGGTTGGCGACTTCAAAGAGCATCATGTAGGCTGTAACGAAGTTCATGGGGAATGCAGCAGCCTCAGAGAAGCTCATGTCATCTGGGATCTTGTAGACAAACTCCACAGGTGTGCAGACCACCTCTGCCCAGGCATTGTAGTTGACAAATGCCATGACACGGTCTCCAATCTGGGCATGGAAAATTACAGAATTAGTAGGCTACGTCCTGACAAGTTCAAGGGGGGGGGGGGGGGGCGGGGTCAAATTACTGGGAACTGTCCATGGTACAAATATCTTTTTTGTTTTTTCCTTACTTGCAACCTTTATCCAAGTTCTTCTAAGTTTCATCGCTTTTATTCTTTGATGAAACAAATAATCTTTTACACATTTGCAGTTAATGCTTGAAAAAAATGGTTACTTCACTTTTATAAGTTATATAATTTATTTGATGAAACATGACAGCTTCACTTTTTTCTGTCAATCTGTCTTTGTTACTACGCTCCACATCCCCAGAACCAGGGAAGGTGTTTGGTTGAAGACTCATTCTCTCTTTGAAATTTAGAACATCACTTAGGTGGAAGAAAGAGGACAGAAAAGTATCAGCCCATCTAATGAAGATAAAATAATGGCAGAAAGTCTTTCTCTATTCTTGTAAAATCACCTTCTACTTGACCAGCTTGTGCCCTGCCTTTAAAAACTTGAGAATTTCAGTCCCCACAGCCAAGGACAAGGAAACTACAGCCTGGCTGAACAGTAGCATTTTCTTTTATCCCAACAGCAAAGCTATCATTTGCTGAGTAATATTAATGACCCAGACTCTGTAATCTTCATATTATATCAGTAATCTATATGCCAGGTTGTAGGGATAATGTCCCCATTATTCCCAGGAAGAAACTGAGTCTAAGAAAGGTTAAGTATCCTGCATAAGGTCACACAGGCCTGTCCTATTCCAAGCATCTTTTGATTACATCAAAATGACTCACTTCTTTGCAGGATTGTTTATTGAGCTCCTTCTCAGTTTTAGGTCCTAGACATTGGAGGCATAAGTATAATGAGGCACAATTCATACTTTCAGATTGTTTGTATTCCTTGAAGTTTTCACATGGCAAATGCTATCAGTGACAGGGCTTAGAAGGCAAATCCACTTGGAAAGGATATGTTAATAGCAAAGGAAGCTAACATGATGGTGATATTCCAGACCCTGGTCCAAAGATAATAAAGATTGTGTTCTGTGTCAGGGGAAGGGTGGGAAGGGGCAAAAATACGCCAGAGTAGCTTAGAGGTAGGGACTGGCCAATTCTGGGCATTTTGGAACAGGGCTGCCATAACCTCAGTCTGTGGCTGGTGCAGGGTCTACAGGGAGTCACCTATTGACCTAGCCAGGCACTGATGAAGTAGAAAGGTGAAAGGCCACTCCTGGCACTAGTGAGACCTGGGTCACAAGGGGTTCGGGTGGATGAGACAGGTGGGGACAGAGTCAGTGTGTTCCCAGGGATCTCAGAGACCTCTGCCCCAGTGGTCAGGGAAACCCTGTTGGAGGCTGGGCTAGCCTATTTCAGGAGAGACACCTGAATCCCAGGAGCAAGTCACTCTGCCCCAGTGTGCTTGCCAGCAATGCAGAGCCCAAGAGAGGGTCAAGAAACTCATCAATGTGATGGCCAGATAGCTGGGCACACAGGGCTTTCTGGTCGACCCCTCACTTCTATTTTCCTTATCTTCAAGAATCTTGGCATAAATATAAGCAGCATCTCCCACCCATATCCTCCCTGAAGCTCTGGATGGGGAGAAGTCTTTGCTTAGACTTCTCTGTGTGCAGTCTGGGGCTCCAGTCCTCACTGTCTTCTCCTCTCCTGTCTCCCAGGCCCATAAATAACCCTGGACTCATTGGATACTGGAAGGAGTGGCCTCCACTTTGATGGTGGTAGCAGTCTGTCCCAGAGAGGGGACAATTAATTGGCCTGCAATAATAAAGTGTGGCAGTGCAAGCTGAGACAGCAAGAGAGATAAGAAGGGAAGGCTTGGCCAGGGCCTCTCCATATTGCCTCTGTGATCATTGTGGAAAACTGGCTGGAAAAACTTGGGAAAGTGCATGCTCACCCCACACCAAACTCCTGTGCCTCTACTTCTGCAGTTGGCTTTCCTTGGTTTTCCTTTCCTTTTGGCAAACCTTTTGCTTTCGTCCAAACCTCACCTCAGATGCAGCGCTTTGCCTGAAGCTACCCTGATGACCCCCTTCTCACAAAACACGAATGGGCCACCTTCTCTATGTTATTGGTACTTACATATACCGAGGGCCTCCTTTGTGCTGGTACTAAATATATAAGTGAATGTCACTGCATTTCATCCCCCTGACAGCCCTATGGGGTAGCTTATGTTGGTGTCCCCATTTTGCAGACTGGAAACTAAAGCTCAGAGCAGTTAAAAACAAAAACTTCTCCAAGTCTGCACAATTACACATGGTGAATCCTGGACTTCAGCTGAAGTCCATCCGATTCCTTATACAGCCCTTCACTGCTGTATTATACTAGGTAACGTATTATGTTAGGTTACTTTTTACACAGATGGCTCTCCCCTCTAAAGGAAGAGTTCTTAGGGGGCAGGGGCAAGAACTACTTTTGGTTTTGTTTTTCTTGAGACAGGTCTTATTATGTAGTGCAGGCTGGCCTTGAACTCACTCAGGAAGCCCAGGCTGGCCTCAGACTCACAGAGATCCTCTTGCCTCAGCCTCCCAAGTGCTGGGATTACAAGCATGCACCACCACACCCAGTGAGGCAGGCATTACTGATTTAGGGCTTCTCACTGCATAGCTCAGAGCTTGGCACAGAGTGAGAAAAGGGTTGATGGGGACTCATTATTAACAGAACCCTGTATTACTTCACCACCAATGGGAAGCTGGGGAGAATAATGGCAGAAGTTCAACCTTGGAGGAGCTTCTGGTAATCTCATAGGAAGTATTTCTGGATCAAAAGGGGAAATCATTGTCTGGTCTTGATTGGACTTAAGGGAACTCTATGGGAGTGGTGACAGCTAGGCGCTATGAATACTAATAAGTGACATTTACCAAGAATCCAGTATGATTCTGAATCTAGATTAAGTGCCCTTTATTTACATGACCTTATACAATTCCCACAAGAGCTCCATGAATTCTTGAACTATGGGAATAATAATAAACTATTATTATGCCTTTCATATAGGTGGGAAAATTGAGACTGGAGGGTGAAGGAACTTTTAAAAAGCAGAACTGGAAGAATTCCGGGTCAGATCTGTTTGTCTCCAGAGCTGTTCCTGGGTGTAGACGGACCCCTCCTTCTCATCCTTGCCAAGTTGAGCTGTTTCTAAGGGAAAGGCCGCCTGGACAGACCACTCATGCTGGTTTGAGGATCCAGAAGCAGAAGAAAAGACTCTACAAAGCTCAAGCTTGTAGGCGTGAGCAGCAACGAGCCTTCCTTTCTTCAATCGGTGGTCAGTCTTCAGCTAAATGTGTATTCTTGCTGATTTGATGGGGATTCTAGGATGGCACTGACTCATCCAGCTGGCAACAGCGTCAGCTGAGGCCATGATTATTAATATGTTTGTACAGGAGGAACTAAGGAAACTCTAGCAGTCACTACACCTGCTGTCATCTCCTCCTCCTCCTAGATCCTAGATCCAGGTCAACCTGCCCAGGAAGAGCAGCCTCTTGAAACAGTAAAGCAATGTTGGTGTTGCCCTCAACATGGCTTATGACACAGTTCTGCCATTTGTGGTTGTGTGACCCGTCAAGATGCTCAACCGTCCAGTTCCTGCAGCAGGGAATGTATCAGTCAGGGACTGTCCTCTTCTACCCCATGTACGGTGAGTGATACAATACATGTGCACTCAGCTCTTACGTCCCATCAAACTCGGGAAGTATTCCTTTCCTGCACCCCACTCTATCACACTGCTTTTATTTTCTCTGAAGTCTGTACCCCACCTGAAGGTATTTTATTTACTCATGTTACATCTTCATTGCCTACGTGTTCTCACTCCCAATAAGAATCCCAGCTCTATGAGGGCAGGAGCTTCTGATCCTATTTTTTAACTACTGTATCCCTGTGCTGAAAGAAGTGTAGTTCCTTGCTAATTATTGGTTAAGTGAATGAATAAAGACACCCAAGAGTCTTATTGGGGGAAAAGAGATGGTCACTCAGTGTTCCATTTCATATTTCAGAATCAAACACAGATATAAGTGTTTCCTAATCTTTTATGGAGTGATTTCTCAAATTAGAATCTGATAAAAAAACAAAACAAAACAAAACAAAACCTTTGTTTTCCTTCTCAGAAAACAAAGCAAAGCAAAAGCACCCTCAAATATGTGTACCCAGTGGCCTCCCAAGTCCAAGGCATTCCTGGAACACTTGCACTCCATCTACAAAGACCTCCCAGGGGCCACAGAAGCCAGGTCCTATGCACTTCCCCTGGGCATTCTGTGTGCAACACCTTACATATTATGGGATATTAGGTTCAGGTCATCTTGCGTACACACACTCTCCTGCCAGATGCTAGTGAAACCATTGTGATATTGGGTATACTGGTTGCCATATTGTGGCTTTCAAGTGCAATATCCAAATTGCTGTGGCCAGAGTGAATTTTGAATTATTTCATGCCCTTCATGATAAGTGATTCTATTGTTTTATTTTCTTTGTAGCTTCGTAGCTCCCTCCTAACCTTATCCAACAACAACCACAGTAAGAACAATAACAAACCTCCCCTTAGATGAGTTCTGCAATAGCCCTGAGTATAGATAAATGGTCACAGGTTTTACAGACATTTAAAATCAAGCAAAGAGATCAAGTCACATGCCGAAGTGTATGGAGCAAGAAAAGAGCAGGGCTAGGATTAGAATCCTGGTAGACTGATTCTAGATACAAATAATAATTTTTTACACCCAAGATAAGTACTATACTGAAAACATAAAGCTATATAAGGGGGTATAAAAGGAACTGCAAAGGCTGGGGATGTTAGTTGAATTCTTTAAGTTTCAGTTTCTTCAATTCTAAAGTGGGTATAAAAATAGTAAAGCAATGCGTTCCGCATAGTATGTGGAGAATGAAGAAAGAGCAATGCGTGCTAACTCTTGAGAACACACATTTTTGGTTTCTGACCTCATGGAACTCACAGATGAATGACCAGAAAGTAAGCATAGGGAAAACAAGCTGCTCTGTGACAGTGAGTCCCTATGCTTGGGAATCAAGTGATGAGTGTCAGGATATCACCTTCAATGCAGCATTTGGGCCAGATGATGACTAGGGACCAAGCTCCCCTCTTCTTTACAGAATCATGAAAACCCACACACAGATGCAATGCCACAGGGTAGCTGCCATTACAGAGTGAAGAGAGCAGAGTATTTCAACTTCCTGACAGTGGAGGTCTGACTGTCCACCCTCAGATCTCCCATTTAACATTGTTCTATTTCCTTTTCAAAATGGCATATTTGGCTCAACCATAGAAGCCTCAGTCTCAGAGTCCAAATTTAGGCTTTCAGCTAGGAGAGCCTACCAGTTCACCTCATTATATGGCTCTGCTCAGAAAAAGAAATCCTTCCTGGGTGAATAAGCCCAAATTATTCCATTAGTGCTGGGTCCCTGGCAATGACTTTTCAGTCCTCCCTTGCAATGGATCAAACCAAAAGAGCTATTCAGCAGGCTGCTGTGTGGAATTCTATCTCCAACATGATTGAAAATCTTAAGTCAAAATTACACAGGGAATATTGATACTGGCTTTCTTCCACATCACATCCTGCCTGGAAATGTGTAGGTGGCTCTTTGTATTTGTTTGTGCAGCCTAAAGTCTCTGGAGCAGAAAAGGATAGAATGGTGGGTTTCATAATAAACAATCCAGAGCTAACCAGGGGACAACTCATGTTTAAAGTGAAAATATATGGAATCAAGTATAGTAAGTTATTCTTCTAAACCAAGTTGAATAACATCCCCATTTACTGTTATATTCTAAAATAACTTATTATTTATTCAGTGTTCAGGGTTGACACAGTGAGCAATCTGATCTTTTCCTTTGGGGCCATATGGAGGCGTAAAGAACAGATAATATTTTCTATATGCAGCACTTTCAGGGAGAACGATGTGCCTCTGGTTATACTGCTCACCTAGGGACAAAAAATGTAAAGTTATGTGAAAAAAAGGCGAAAAGCTCATTTACTTCTTTTTCTGCTGGTTATCTGGAATCCATTAATAATAAGACAGATAAGTAAGATAAGATTTCCAGACAGTCATCTTAATGAAGTTGGAGCATACTGATATTTTCAGAGGACACTGAGGCTCAGAGGCATTGAGACTGAGAAACAGGCTGGAATTTTATTTGAAGGGCACCTTGGCACTCAATTTTATAGGATTCTTCTTCTGTGCCTTTTCTTTGCATTTAGCTCTGCAGCATTTGGGGGTTGGGACCATGAGTGAAAACCATGGATCTCAGAAGATTAAAAAGTCTGTGATGACCTGAGCCCATGTTCTGCTACTGCACAGAAAATTATGGGACCCTGCTAAAACTCAGGGGATAAGACAGTCTTTACCTTGCAGGTCTTTGTTGAGGGTGAAAACAAGATAATTTTCCTATGGTTCTGGTGGGTTTCCAGGGGTTAACTCCCTTCAGTCCACCCTAAGGGAGAACTTAGTTATGAGTGCAAGCTCTTGTACTTGACTCATATTGGTTTTTCTGGCTCCAAACTACTACAACTTTAGTTGATTTGTTCAGTGTTCCAGTTTTTATAGACCCAATTCTATTGGCTTTGCATTATAATGGTAGAAAGGGTCATGTATCTTTTCACAGATCAAAATATGTTTTTTTATGGTGAATTTTGAACTTAGACAAAAGTAGCCAGAATTACATAATATGCCTGTTTTACCCATTGCCCTACCCACAAACCCATCAATCAATCAATTCTGTCCCATTGTTAGGGACCACTACATTTTGATGACAATCTCTTTGATTCAAAAATTAGACTCCCCTCGTTCCTGACATAGTTAGGGATTTATAAATGATAACTTAAACTTATCAGTTAAGTAAATATTTAAAGGAATCCAGTTATCAAATACAAAGGCCATTTCCTTCACACTTTTGTTCTGTAATTGATTTTTGAGCCCCAGGTAATTGAAATGGGAGCTGTAAGTGGAGAAGGCCCTATGTCCTCTCAGTGAATCCAAAGCCAAATACTCTTTTTTAACATCTGAATCACATGAATAAAAGGGATGACAAAACCTGTTCTGCCCAACTAGCCAAACTGTTGCTAGAAGCAACCAAATTAGTACACGAGAATTCATGAGATCTTTGAAAGCTCTATCATTGTAAACAGTGTTAATAAAAGCACATTATAAAACAACACTAATAATACATGGCCTAGGTTATTTCAATATGTTTTTGCATAATCTTTCATTGTCTCAATGGATTCCAGATGAATACTACTCTTTAAGTCAAAGTCAAAATGTTACCTCATATCCTTTCACGCTGTCCCCCAGTGCTTCCACAATTCCAGAACATTCAAATCCTGGTACCAGGGGAGTCTTGGGAGGGTTGTCAATATTCCCTTGTCGCACCATCAAATCGATGAAGTTCAAGCCACTGTGAATGACAGAGTGAAAAAAAAGAGAAATTCAAAATGACATCCAAAAAATAAAAAACACTGCCTTGGTTCCTTTTTTCCCTGTCCATCCTTTTATGTCCTTCTCTTCCTTCCTTTTTCTTTTCCCTTCCTTCCTTCCTTCCTTCCTTCCTTCTTTCCTTCCTTCCTTCCTTCCTTGGTTCCTTCCTTCTTCCTTCCTTCCTTCCTTCCTTCCTTTTTATTTTTCTCAATCAAAGTGTCCCTAAGAGTAGTGCCTCTTGGCTAGACAGTCTTAATAATGTACAATTCAATTATCCCTATGCAGATAAATAAAGCTTTTCTGACAGTAAAAGCAGTTCATGTTCTAATTCAAAAGATAGTCCCTTTGTCCTCTTTCAGTGTCTACCCAGAAATCTTACTTTGAAAATGCATATTGACAAGCCTGGTCATTAGACATTCCAGCACTTAATCAAAGGTTAAAAAAGGAAGTGGTTATAAACAGCCACATGGAAGGAAGCCAGATGCAATGGCCACCAGCCAAGCAATGATAAAGAGAGAAAGGGAAAGGACAACTAATTTGATAGGTCTCAAAACAGCCAGCACCTCTTCTCACTCATCCCCCAACATCAGCCTTCTGCATCAACAGTATCATAATGGTTAAGATGAGCAGGAGCGAAAGAAAGGAGACTCAGAAGAGATTGAAGGGAGGGCTACGTGGATATGGAAATGCTGGGGTATTTGTTTCAAGGCTATAAGTTACCATCAGATGAGAGAAAGTATTAGGTATTTTCTATTAACACATTATTTTTTTTTTTTTTTGGTGCCGGGAATCAAACTCACAAGTTCACACTGCCAGGCAGGCACTGTGCTACTGAGCTATATCCCAGGCCCACATTACTTTTGAAATAAGAACCTTATGCAGTAATATCAAAGCCATCTGTATGGAAAACTATATACTGGACTCCAGTGAGGCCACCAATGTACTAATCTTCTATTTTTTAGAACTACTCTTAGGAACTGCACCCAACACTCTTCTGCTAGTCACACAAGGAAACATATCCCTAAGGATTTACTTGTTTTCTAAGCTACTACCTAAGAAACACTGAGACTATAAAAATCAAATTCCTGTCTGACTCTGCCCATTAGCATGGCTACAGCTGCTTTGCCAATGTAGACAACTTGGACTATTTTAAAGTACATCTTAGTTATTCTTCCTTGATCTCTTTGGAGCCAAGGGAGCACTTATGATGTATGACTGAAACATATAGTAAATGTTTAAAATTTTTAAAAATTATGACAGTAAAAGACACATTGCCATTGACCCCCTCCAAAACATGCCCTCACTTTGAACACACTTATCCCACTGTTCTTGTCACTCTGAAGCACTTCCAGAAGTCTTCTTTCATGAGTATCTTCAGTCGTGCTATTGTGGCTGCCTGAATCAATTTACCTTTCACGGTAAATTGACCATAAAATCATTGCTGTGTGTCCTTGTCCACCTTGTTCACCAGATTTGACACCATGAACTTCTGGTTCTTCCTCAAAATCAAAATGACCATGGAAATCTCAGAAGATATTAAAGGGAGGGCTATGGGATATGGAAATGCTGGGGTTTGTTTCAAGACTATAAGTTACCTTCAGATGAGAGTAGGTAACTTTTTGGTCACTTTGATTTTGAGGAAGAACCAGAAGTTGCATGGTGTCAGATCTGGTGAACAAGGTGGATGCGGACGCACAGCAGTGGTTTTATGATCCTGGCTTTCCCCTGAATGGCACTCGGCAGAAGCATTCACCATATTCTTGCTTCAGAAAGTAGCAAGAACCATGGGATAGGTGTGTTTGAAAGAGATGAGGGGGATGAATTGTCTAACATTGTAATACATTTTTAAAATTTGAAGCATTCATTGTATATTTGGATTACTCCCTGTAATTTGACCTGTATCTGCCAGTCTCATTAGTCTCATCCACAGAAATGCATGCACAAAGGCAGAAGGAACGCTTACTGGAAGTGGGTGGAGGGACAAAAGTCACACCTCAAGACTCTCCTACCAAGGACCAGGCAAGTTTCACATCTTGCCCCAGATAATGCATCTCTTAATGGTGGCTGCCTTGAAGGCAGCTGCTTGCCTCAAATGTCTTTGCTTCCAGAGCATTTGGCAAGCAACTGGTCCAAAGTTACATGGTATAGTCAGTACTCTACTATCATCTGCTGAATGCGGGAATAGTCATCAGTATAAAAAATGAGGTTCCAGTTTGAGTAATAATTTCTTTTAAAAAAGAGGAAAGTAGAGAAAAGACAAAATGCAAGTCAGTTATACTATTGGTGTCTCTTAGTTCATTAAAGAGAAGGTTTGTGCTAATATCAATTGGAGATATTTTTATACCCATATCTTGTACCTTGAGCAACTACTTTAAAGATAACAACATGTAATATATCAACTGTTGTTATTCTCCTATTATTTTGTTATGAAATTTTGTTTTACCTTTTTTCCACAAAAAGAAAAAAATTAAAATGAGGAATGGATAGATGTCTGAAACGCATGTGTAGATTTCCAAGGATCCTACTTCGATAGTGAGTAGTTATTTGGGTCAATGAGTATCCCAAATATTCTTCAACAATGTGACCATTTTCTTGAAAGCTTGGGGAGACTAAGTACAGATCCCAACCTTACCACTTTTGTATTTATGTGACCTTGGATAAGTGATTGGCTCCTCTGCGCTTCCTCATCTGTAAAATGGGAGTTCAGACCATATCTACTTCATGGGGTTGGTATGAACATTAAAGGAAGTAAGGCACTTAAATATGGCACAGGTACACAATATTCAATGGCTGTTAGCCTTTTGATGCACGTCTTTAACAAAGAAGGCGAGAAATGTGTGAAATACTTCGGGAAGACTGCGTAAAAGAGGGTTAAAAATAGTTTCAGAACTGACAGGGAAAAAAGTTCCGCTATCTATAAACTTCACTTCGATGAAATGGTCCATTTTCCTACACAACCAAATAAATAAAGCATTACTGTGTAACAATAAAAGGAATTTCTACGTCCCAAATCAAACACTGCATCTCATTCCATGCATGTTTTATCTTACTGTGTTTTCCTCTGTGTGAAAGCTTATGATTTTCCAAGCCCTTGATGAAGAAATGCCAGAAGAAATTACTTGACAGTTCCGCAAACACGGCAGCCCCCCGAGAAGGTTTCTTTCTTCTTATCATGCTGCTCAAGCGGGCTGTCTTCAGTCACCATCCAATGGGGATGGGCTGGTAATTGTAAACGGAGAGGAGAGCCAGCTCTTTAAATCACAGTGAGAAAGGCGAAGACTAACTTGAGAAGAGTCTGCAGCTTCCTGTTTCCTCAGGAAGCCGTTCAGCGGTTCCCTAGGTCACGGTGGATGCTGCCTATTGTAAGGAAGCGGGTACATACCAAGAGAGAGGGGTGGGCGATGTTGTTCATCTCCACACAAGGAAGTGAACAATTGCTAACAGAGCCCACTTAGGTGTTCTAGCACACCGACTTCATGGTGCCCACACCCGACCTCCTTCTGCTGTGGATACAGCTAGCATTGAAGGAGGGTTTGTGTTTTTATTTTCATGTACAACAAATACATATTTGAAGTGAAAATAAGAAATTGTAAATTACATATGTGTTACATTATTCAACTGTGTGCTGCATACCAAAATAGAAAAGCAGTTATCCACCTTTAACCAGGTACCTGTCTGCTGTCAGCAAAGCCCAGTTGTGGGAGGAACTGTGGTAAGTCCTTTGATTTGGTTATTTAAGAATGAATGCTACTCCTATGAGTATGAATTATTTTACCCATTTTTCAGATGTAGAAACCTTGGACACAGTTCAGTTAAGTCACTTATATAAAGCCACATCTTTGGGAAGTGTCAAAACACTAAAGTCAAGCAGAGCATAAAGTCAAACCCTTATACAACACACTCCATTTCCATGGGAACTTCCTCTCCCCTACGCCAAGGAAAGGAGCATACCTCAGGGCAGTGTTTATAATTCCTTATCTCTTCCTCTATGACAGCCAAATTTGGAAGAACAGCCTTTCATAATCGAGGCAAGAGTCCATTTATTAATATGAACAAATGATATGGCTCAAGACTTGGAGTGCTCCAAAAGCTACAAACTGGGTATCATGTATCTATTGCTGAGTTAGTGAGAAGGAGAGTGTCCAGACCCCAGAGCTAGTGAGGACACCTCCCTTATGCCTCCTGCTCTTCAAGAGCCTTTGTTGTTTCATAACTCGTTATAACAGAACCTCTTTACATGGGTTACCTGTGTGGTCTTTGTCTCACAAAACCAAAAGACACAAACTAAAGCAAGTACCATAATCAAGCACCCCTCTAGGACAAACATTATTGAGCTTTTGTTTTCAGACCAAACAAGTAACCTCGTTTAGAGATATTAAGACCAAGCCACACAGACAGCACAACCCATGGACTTAAACTTGGGTCTATTTAATACTTTTATTTTCTCACCACCACAGAAAAACACAGGAGTGTACCGAGCTATACAGCTTCACAATTACAGTTTTCAGTCTTCTCTAAGAGAATTTGATTTTTTTCATGGAAATTTTGGGGAGACAGCAATGACTATGCCGGATGACTCAAGCACACATGGGGGTAATCTTCAGACATCCTCCTTACTTAACCTTTACCCAGCTCTTAAACATTTGAGATCACTGCAAAAAATAATGTTAGAAAGTACTTGACAAAATGTTCTGTTAAGTAATTCTATTTTTCTTAAAGATGAGTATAATTTTAATAATACAATAAGACTTTTCTTTTTCCTCCCATGCTAATTTATTAGTCAGAAAGAGTTATTATTGAGCTGTAGCATCCTGAGGGGGTGAAGGAAGGAGTTTGAAAAAGGGACCCTGGAAAACTCAAAATGCAAGCTGAGAAATCTGAAGGCATGTGACAGAAAATACAAGGAAGTGTGAGGACAGTGCTTCTAAATACTTTTCCATATTTGCATAGCACAGTTTACAACGTGCTTTCAGACAAGTC